GAAGGAAGTGATGAAAGCAGGAAAATAATTTCACTTCTAATTTCACTCATTTTCCATGTAATTTGTCAATATATTTTAACAGCTTGATGGGAAATAAGAAAGCTACTGCTAAGTTTCTTATACTGCTATGTTTCTTATATGCACACCTACCTGCACCAGTGTCTCTTGCATATCTTGCACATATGCAAATTGTATTACATTCAAGGTAAAATATGACTGAAGGGTCTTTTGCTGTTCTGGCAGCAAAGAGCTAATTTGAGTTTAATTACTTTAAAGTATTTTAAAATGTTTTCAAAGACCTCTCAGTTTCTTCCACAATATGATTACAAACAATAGATATGCTGGTTAAAATTTTCGTATATTTCTCAGTAAGTATATTTAATAGAAAAAAAATATAAAACAAATAATATCTTCTACTTTATTGTATCAAATTTCTGAATCAGATACACTCCCAAAAACAGACTATAACTATTTTATCAGGGGAAGGGGAAAAGATTAACTTAGAAATATTTACTCTTGCATGTTAATTTGTGACACTAACTACTTTGCATGCAAAATTCTAACTATTCTAATAAATTATTTGAACTCATAATTCTAATAAAGGATTTGAACTCATAAAACATCCAGTGTTTTTTATGCTTAACTGTCCCTATGGTCTGAAATACCACAGTTAAATAACTTCAGGTAAGCAGATGCATATAGAGCTTTTATCCTCATATCTTTTATTTAGTAATTAAAAACCTCACACACTTGCACAGACACCATCAGAGGCAGAGCAATGCATATTTCTATCAGCAGTTGATAAGACAGCAGCATTCTTCAAAAAATTTTTTTAAAAATATTCCCTTTTTTCCCTTAAAAATTGAAAATATGCAAATTGCTAAAAATAAAATTTAAAAAAATATAAGTTTAAAGTGATTGAGTTGTGAAAACAAGCTGAACTTGTTCTTTATCGAACTGTAGGAGTTGCAGATGAAAGGAGGTGCTATATAAGGAATAGCTAGACTTCAACAGAGAACGCGCTGCCAAAACATTTTGGCCTAGATTCTGACAGGCACGCACCCAAGTTGAAGGGTCATGGAAAGCAGCGGTGTAAAGAAACAATCTACAGAGAGCAGAAAACATTACACTGCGGATTAGGGCTGGGCTGGGGAAGGGGGCAGGGGAGGAGGGCAGAGAGAAGTTGCTTGTTTGCTCGGGGCTTTTTTCATTTGAAATCTGGGGAGAAAAACAAAAGATACAATGTCTCGATTATGTGCGAAGGGGGCGGAGAAGATATACAAGCGCAATTTCTAAGACAGCAACAAATGATAAAATGTATCCTGTTCTTTTTCCTAAGTTTCTGCAGCTCCTTCTCTTTGCTTTCACGGAGTATGTTAGAAGGAAGAACAGACGGCAAACTATCACACACAGTTCCCGAAGAAGGCCAACTTTCAAAAAATTCATGCTCTGTAATTTGATTAGACCCTTAATAAACATGTCAAAGTTTTTATGAAGAATTCTGGATCTTGCTATCGTTCATGCTCAGAAGTAGCACAGAGCTCCATAAAAAGAAAATAAAAATCTAATTACAATGAGATAGAGATTTGTGAAAGATCCAGACTGACTTAATACCTTCATTAATGACAAAGGAAAATTAACAGTTTTCAATTCCTGCAATTCAGAGGAGAAGAATATTAATAAAAAGAGAGCTGAGAATTAGCTATGTTTAGTTTAACTTGGAAAAGCACAGGCTTTCCAAGCCGTGCTGAGCATCCTCACCTCACATATTCCAGTGAGGATGGTGGAAGGCAATCAAAGAAAGATGATTGCAAAACAGTACTCATGTCAAGCAATGGAGATGCCTAGGTATAAAACAGATGCTCCAGTGTGCACCAAACAGAGAAACTTCTCATTGTAGGCTACAGAAAGGCTCTCACTGGGACAAGTGAGCTCAAACTTTTGTGTGTGCATCCACTAACACCAAAATAAAGAAGTTTCATCAGCAGAATCACAAACACACACGCACACTCCTGGGACTGGCTTAGAGTAAGCAATGAAACAAAGTTTGTGGCAGTTATTAAATTCAGTAGGGCATAGCTCTACTTGTGCATATCAAATGTATTTAATAAGAGTGCAAGAACCATACCTTAAGCCAAGCCCAATGACAGAACAAGCTACTAGCAACTGTATTCCACTAAGCCTTCCAAAAGGTGTGGGATTCTGCAATTAAAAAACCTCTGACTGGTGCAACACATCAGTATTCTTGATCCTTGGCAATAGAAACTAAAGTCTCTAGCTGCTGACATGCTATACACACCAAAAAAAAAAAATTAATCTTGTGTTTCCTAGATACAATTGTTCCACTCCTTGACAAGCTTCACCTACTGTGGTCAGAAGGATATTGAACATTCTTTTCCACTCACCTAACACATACCCCACAGTACCAACCTGACTGCCTGTACTTGCAATTCAAAATGGGCTGCATGCCACGTTTCCAGCATGAAATGCCACAGACCATAGAAGTTACCAGAACTTCCTACTCTCCTTACACCAGTGAACAAGCTTATGAAAAATCTTTACGTAAGTGTTACCTTTGATGTTAACATTAGTCTGATGAGTTTGGAGTAAAGCAAAAATCACTGGTCTAACTTAACTATGGTTTTGAATGAAAAGACATTACGCATGGGAATATTTTATTTTAGCTGTTCCTACAACATACCAGCTGTGTAGATGGTACATTTCCCTTCCCCCGGTAAAGGGCTCGTAGATGCTTACGTAATTTTACAATTCTGATACAGGGGCATTAAATTATACACACCAAAGTCAGACACAAGGATGGATGTAATCTGGTCAGACCAGCACTCCTTCAGCATATTTCTTAATCGATGACATTTCAAACGTCTCAATTAAAAACTAATTTATAGGAGGACCAGGAGGAAAAGAAGAAAAGTCCCCGACTACACATCAGTCCTTTAAAGTCTCAAGAGTGTAGATACTTTTATTAATAGCAGGTTTCAAATCAGTATCGTATGATAAAGATCTCAAATGCCTGCCCAACCGATGCCCCCGATGCAATTGCAAGTACTATTCAAAGGGGGGGGGAGGGAAGAAAGAAGAAGGAGAGCCTCAAGTCTATTTCAGCCAGTCAGTTAGTCCTTGGTGTAATACTTCACGCCGCAAACAATAAGAGCACGTTCACAATAAAGCCTCACTCAAGCAAACGAAGGGTGCTTCATAAACTACAGCGGAGCAGGTGGGGAGGACGGTCCAGCACACGAGTCCCCAGTGCCCCTCGCACCACCCCGGCACAGCACGGGAGATGCTGCCCCCTCCTCCAGGAGCGGCGGCTCCAGCGCCAGGCTCTCTGCCCCGAGGCTCCGCCGGGACCAACAACTCAGCGCCGCGCCGGCCGCAGCTCCCACCGCCCGGCCCCGCGGGCTTTCATTCCGCAAAACCCCGGGCGTTGGGCGGCCAGGGAGGAAGGGGCGAGAAATTCGCGGCTTTCACACAAAACACACGCGGACCCTGTCGGAGCTTTCCCTCCCGTTCCTCACCCGCCACTCTTTATTTAATGTTGGGAGGGGGATCCCGGTGCCCGCGGCAGCTCGTGTCTCCCCGCCCCACGCCGCGGGGCGAGGGGAGCGGCCGGGCTACGCTCTCCGCGCCAGGCAGGGAAACGCCGGGGAAAGTTTGAGCGGGGGAAGGGGCGACAACAGCTCCAAGCCCGCCGGCACCTGGGAGGCTGGCCGGGGGAGAGAAGGAGGAGGAGGTGAGGAAGGGGTGTTTGTAAGGTGCCCGAAGCCCACGCTCTGCCCGCCCCTGCGAGCCCCGCGCCGGCAGCCTGCGCACACGCGTGGGTCGCCCACCGCGCCCCGCAGAGCGGAGGGGTTGGGAGTGCGGGGCAGCCCCCCTGCAGCCCCACCGCCGCTCCTCGGGCGGGAGCCGGGTCCCGGAGCGTGCGGGACCTTCCCTGCACTCTCCCCTTCCTTCCCCTCCCTTTACCGGCAGGCAGCCCGGGCACGGCGCGACCCCGCCGCGCCGCCCGCCCGTACCTGGGCGCCGAGCAAGAACTCACCTGCCGAGAGCTGGGCCTGGGCCGCCCCGAGCAGGGCGGGCGAGCGGCCGGCCAGCAGGGCGAGCGCCGCCAGCAGCGGCAGCGCGGCGGCGGCGCCGGCCCCCCTGCCCATGCCGACTTGCGGAGAAGTTTCTGAAAGAGGCCGGTGCTGCCCCGGCCCGCGGCGGCGGCGGGCGGAGCGCACCTCGACCGCCGCTCTCGCCGCGCCCCTCGCCAGGAGAGCCCCGCGCCGAGGGGCGCCCGCTGGCCCCGGGGCCGCCCGCTGGGGCAGCCGTCTGCGGCGCGACGAGCGCGGCGGTGGCACCGATTCCCCTCGTACTCCGGAGTTACTTTGCTGCCGGGCGAGTGGGGCGGGAGGGAGGAGCCGAGTGCGCACGTCCAACCCCCGCTCCCCGGCACTTGGCACGGGAATGTGGGACTCCGGCCCGCAGCCCGGCGCGGGCGCAGCGGCGCCCGGCAGCGCCTCCTGCTGCAGGCGCGGCGGCAGCACCGGCTCGGAGCGGCGCTGCCCGGATCGCCTCCGCTCCGCTCGGATCGGCTTCCCCCGGCGCGGCTTCCCCTAGCACACTTCGGCTCGGCTCGGCTCTTCTCCGCCCGCTCCGGCACGGCGCAGCCCGGCTCAGTGCGGCTCCGCTCGGCTCGGCTCGGCACGGGAGCAGCTACAGGCGGTTGTGCGAGCCCCCCGCTCTCAAGCTCCCGCCTGAGGGAAACCTGCTGCTTCTGGAGGAGAAGGAGGAGAGGGGCGGAAGGGAGAGGGCGCCGGCTGAGCCGGCGGGGCGGGAGGTCGGGGCAGGGAGCGCGGCCGGGGGCGGAGGGTCTCGGGCGCTGCTTTCGGGGGACGGTCCCCACGCCGCCTCGGGTGGCATCTGTCGGCTCATCCCGCTCTTGGAAACGCAGTATGGACCGAGCGGCGAGCGTGGTGTTATGAGAGAGCATCAAACAGCCTGGCTGTATCCTCGAGTCAGGGTTCGTGTTTTTGCTTTCTTTGGCAACACTTGCCTGGCTCCTAACACCAGTAAAGGCTTATTGTTCTCAGTTGGAATGGTAATAAACAGTATTGCCATTATCCTATCATTTCCACGCGTGATCACTATCTGACCTTTCAGACAGGTCTGTGTGCAGCTGTGCGACTCTGACTCCCGTGGGCTGTGACAAAGGATACTCTCTCCTGATCCAGACCCCAGGTATGCCCTAGAATAAAGGCCTTGTTCTCTGTTTCTAAAAGCACTGCAGGTCCTTATGCTTCCAGAGCTTAGAACTCCAAAAAGCATTTGGAATAACAGAAAAAGTCACCAGTGCTGGAATTTATCTTTAAATAAACCTAATCTCCTCAAATTATTTTAACTTATATTTTTATTAGATTTTCTTTTTCGCATGGCAACTTGTAATTAGAGATGTTGTATAATGATTACAACTGAAACTGAAACCGCTGGAAACACGCAGGTTTTATTGCAAATTCGAAATTCAATCCAGGTTCATCAAGGGTTTGCTGTGATTCAAAATCCCTTCCAGCCATTGTCTGGCAATTGATAGGTTTACCTTTAAGCCCCACAGGCCCTTCGGTTTTCACAGCAGAAAAAAAAAGTGAATCACAAAGTGTTATACAAAGTACTGTCGTTCACACACACCCAACCCTAAAAAAAGTCTACACCTGGAAAACCCTGTCCTTCCTTTGGGCGGAGTGGCTGAAAACCCACTTGCATGCTTACCCTGAACTGTAAAATTATGTGCTTCAGTGAACACTGACTCTTTGTTTGAACTTCAAGAAGAATGGGAGCTGTGTAAGATGATCTCATGACACCCAGTATTTCAGGAAGGATCGGCCATGTACCAGATAGGAAATTTTTCTGAGCAAGGTGAAAGAAAGAAAGTGTGCCAGCCCAGCTTCTGATGCCTGAGGATACATGACCATTTCTGTCACTTATGAAAAAGATGTATCCAGTCATACTGGTGTGAGGGAGAACGTGGGTATCTGATGCCTGCCTTCATGCTGGGAGCTATACAACAAACACTGCAAAAGTGGCTTCAAGCCAGATAACTCGTGAGTTGTTTGGGAGGGCAGAGGAGAGGAAGACTAATGTCTCCTTCCCTTTTACCTCCATGACATGCTTGCAGCTGTCTCCAGTGGTCAGCACTGCAGATCGCCACGTCTGGAGTGGGGAAGAGGTTGTTAGGCGATGGTGAATGTGCATTTCCAGGCTGTTGCTGATTTCATTGCTCTGAGGTGATGGATCCCACTGATGATGCACAATCATCAGGGCTACATCTAAACAGCTTACGTATGTTTCAGTAAGAGTCTCTTGGGATTTCATCTTTCCCCATTATTCCACTACTATTAAAATGCAACAAAAAGTACTTTGATAGCTACTCTTTGCTTGACTAGAGAATTCAGGCTTGAGAGGTAGGGGTGAGGTGTGCATGTGACTCCACTTTTCCCTCAGCTGCACATGCATCTGTTGAACTCTTATGTGTAGTCCACTGTATGTGTCCTTCTACCGTACTTGGCATTCTGACAAATACTTACACTCCAGGTTTGAGTTATTTTTTTATGCTATATGACATGAATGGATTTATATTTTACTCCAGCTTTTTAGTGCTCTAAATGTTTTACAGTTTTCACATTTTCAATAAAGAGCAAGCAAATCTGTATTACCTGTTGCATGTCTTTTAAAAACTGTCTGAGCTAACAAACTCTATGTTAAATGCAAGTCTAATATGATGGAGACATCCCATAGTAAAATCCTTCCCTCCAGCCTGAGGGCTATTTGGAACTTAGGGAAGGTATGGTCTTTATCTTATTAATTGCAACATCTAAATAAAGTGCCAAATAAATCTCTGTCAGTTTCAAGAAACTGGTTCTGAAACTCTACTAGATGCCTCTACCCTCTTTGCACTCCCAGTTAAAACTTTCCCTTTATAGTTTTGGGTGTTGCTAAGCCTGTCATAACATATTTTTTTAACATAGGCTATCACTTAATTATATCTATAGTGACTGACAGATGTCTAGCACAATATATCATTTCACAGCAAAATATCTTAAATTAGCAGTATTTCAGTGCTATATGATAGAATCCACATTTTCCTATGGTATTTGAACAGTATGTAAAGTCTAGATATGTTATAGGAAATTACATATTCCTTAGCAGGAAAAATATTTCCCTCTTCCTTTTTTTCTTTTTCAGGAACCTTTAACCATTATCCTAGAGCACAAGGAGATTTGGGGAGATTTAAATGAAATTTTTCAAAAAAAGATAGTCAAGTATTCTCATTATCCTGCTGCTCCCATCCAACTTTCCACCTCTCTGCACATTTGCTTCCTTTAAGAAAATCTGCTCATTTATTTTGTGAGCCTTAGCAAGATCCCAGGCCTTGAAGTTCTGGCTCTTCGAGGTTGGAGATCCTAAAGAATATTGAGAATTGTATTGATTGAGGTTTTCTTGGTGTTATACAGCAATGCCCATGGTAGGTGTTTCATTGTATTTTGACTTCTGAAAAGAATACCTCTATGAAATACACTTCAAATTTCAATTAAATATGTCATTTTGAATCCTAGTACTCAAGGAGCCTTTTTGAGAACATGCTAATTCGACAGAGAATCAGCAGCCAACACTGTTGTCTTAAGAAGAGGACTGAAGAGGAAAAGACAATGCTGAGAGCCTTACTGACCTCTTTCAACAGCCTCCCCACATGCAGCTGCTTTTGGGAAGCAAATGTGGGGCAGTCAGAGGATCTAAAAAGTATGGGGATTCACTGCTGTATATCACATGTATATCATGTGAATAACATCTTTCAATTAGGAGCATCCCACATTCACCCAGCTCCTTGTGGTACATGGATCACATACATACATGGTACCAGGATGTGCAACAGGTGAGCTGCCCAGTGGCAGGGGTATCTCTGCAACTCTTGCTCACATTCTTGTCATCAAAGATAGTGACAAGCTTTTGTGACTACAGAGATTACTGTGTGTCATTTTGTTCAGTCAAAGAGTGGGCTCAGTGAAGTCTTTTCCAACCTTAATTATTCTATTATTCTATTCTATCATTCTATAATTTCCCATCCTGAGTGTCCCATTCTCACTTGACCACCATACTTGGCAATGTTCACCTTTGAGGTTAGAAGTTTCCATCATCTATCCAGAGACGGGATATTGCTTGGGTCTGCTTGTCATTTCTGCAGTTTTGATAAAATAGCCTGTGATTTTTTAAAAAAGAGCACATTCCCTGTTATTGACCAAATATTGTCTTATTTTTTCTTTGAGCAGACAAAAGAGTTGACAACTGAAATATAGCATGGGAATAGCCTTCAAGAAGGAACGAAGCATGGCCTTGTTCTGAAACAAATTGTTTTACTGAATTCTATCCCTTCAAAATTACATTGTACTGTGCATTCCTCATGCCAGAGTCCAGCCCAGAAAGAAATTGGTCCCTGAATTTTTCTAAATATCAAAGAAAAAGTTCTGTAAAAATCTCTTTTTTAATAGGGTCTTTCAATAGTAAAACACTGCTTGGCTAAAGCAAGGGACACCAAGAGCTGGTGTTTGGAAGACAGATTATAGTTGAAACTCAGAATATCTGAGTGATTCGTCAACCAGTGATTATTAAGGCATTGAATTTCACGGAACAGCTTGGTTTTAAACAAGTTCTTTCTATGCTTTTTCTGTATGTATGTGTTTAAGCAAATGCACCTTTCCACATTGCCTATAAACCTTTTACCAGTTGACTTCTACCCCCATGCTGTTCATCACAGCTTCATGCTCATATTCCTTATTAGAAACGTAGGAGGAAACATTGTTTTTTGCCATTGGAGAAGACACCAGAAAGACTTTAGAAGTTTCTGAAGTGCATTGCACTGCTATACCGGTTGTCCAATTTTTTTAGATTATTGTATGTGTGCCTGCTGCTTGCAGTGGTTTGAAAGCAGGAAGACCTTTAAAGTCCACAATACTAAAAGTTGAGCTTGAACTCAGCTGAAGTCGTTCACTCAGGTCTTGGAACAGCTCCAAAAAGATACTCAATGTGCCCTGCACACAGATTTGTGGGAAACTGTGAAGAAAAACAAACAGATGACCTTAGAACATTTGTTGTCAATGAAGTGCAGTAGACAAAGATATCCAACAGTAGAGAATGGTTGAGTTGGATGAGGTCTTGCAGGTGTTAATCTGATGTAGTGAAAACAAGAAGCTGATAGAAAAACGAACATAAATGAAAATGTAGATAGGTTTTCTAGAGCTTATCATTTTAGCAGCAGCTTTTGGGCCTAAATAGTTGCCTGTGATCAGGAGGAAAAATCACACAATTGCTTCTGTTTCCTTATTAGGTAAACCTGCATATACTTGCAGCTTAATTGAGTAAACATGCACATTTAAAATTCAGTGCATAAAATATTTGTAAAAAGTTAGCAGATGAAAGAAGCTTAAAATCAGCATGATGCAAAATAAAGTTGCAGTTTTCCACCTTTAACCCAGGCTTAGTATGTAGTGATTGACACAAGAAACATGGAGATATTTTGTGCATAAAAAAGAAATGCAGAACTGGGTAATTTTGTCTTGAGAACCTTTAAAGAGCATGCAGTCTGTGAATTGTCAAGTGATAAGCCTTGAAACACTTAAAAATAATTTTGGGGATGCTGGTGGATGAGGCTGTCCATAGCCCAGAAACATGCACTCACAGCCTAGAAAGCCAGTCGTGTCATGGGCTGCATGCAAAGCAGTGCAGCCAGCAGGGCAAGGAAGGGGACTCTGCCCCTCTGCTCCTCCCTGGAGAGAGCCCACCTGCAGTGCTGCATCCAGCTCTGGGGTGCCAGGCACAGGAAGAACATGGACATGTTAGAGCAAGCCCAGAGAAGTGACACCAAGATGTTTAGAGGGTTGGAGAACCTCTCTTATGAGGACAGACTAAGAAAATTGGGCTTGTTCAGCCTGGAAAAGAGAAGGCTTTGAAGTGACCTAGTTGTGGCCTTCCTTTACTAGAGGACAGTATCCATGAAAGAAGAGGAGAGACTACTTACAAGAGTATGTAGGGACATGACAGACGAAACGGCTTCAAATTGTAAGAAAATAGGTTTAAATTATTTACAAGGAAGAAATTCTTTACTGTGATAGTGGTGAGGCACTGGAACAGGTTGCCCAGAGAAACTCATCCCTGAAGTGTTCAAGGCCAGGTTATTTTTCCCCAAAGTTTGAGAGATTTGGGGGTTGTAGAGGAGACATCTCAAAGGAAGAGACATATGAAATGCATTTGTAAATGTCAAACCATGGGTCTCTTTACTGACAAAAAAAAATTCAACAACTTTATTTAAATGGTGGGATTTATCTAAGGAGAGTAATGGCATACAAGTAATCCGTAGCCCCAAGGCCTCTCACAGTGCTGCTATGTCCACTTGTGCTACATTCGGTGATCAGTTTATGAAGGGGGCTTGGAGGCAAATTAATTATTTAAAAGTACAATAAATTGAGAATTCAGTCTTCCCTCCCTTAATGGATATACCACTCTTGAGATTACCATTAGATCCTCAACAGCACATTGTTGATCTCTCGTCTGAAAGAAGACATATATGAGAAATTTTTGAAGTGAATTAAGTAAAGCTTATCAATCACAAATGACTTTTAAGTAATACAGGACTCTGTAGTGTTGAGGAGATCTGATGGAATAGGTAGTGACTTTGTTTAGCTTATCCAGGCATAAATGTCCTATACAGATTATTGTAAAACCTGTTACCAAAATGAAAAAAAGGCTTGGCTTGGAGGAGAGCAATTAGTCTCCCCGTAATAACTATTGGTTTTGTAGTGGTCTGTTCCAAATTTCTGTGAGATCCAAATTTTTCTTTCCACCTCTTCTTGTTAATTGGAAATTGATATATATGGGGGTGTTGAGAAGTCTGCCGAAATATAAAATGGTCTAAAGAAAGCAACCCTGAGCATAAACAAACATGAGTAAGTGACAATATAAAAAACATTAGCCAATGCACTGGCACATTTATCCATTATAAAGGCATTAATTCAGGTTCTTCCTGTTAACCAAGAGATGGCTACAATTTGAATAAGAAAGAGGCTGAAGGAACACAGTATATGATTCAACCTTACCCTCACAAATTTTAATGATAGCCTGGAATAAAAATTGGAATCTGCAATCAATCAGTCCATACTCAAGGGAACAGGAATATGATTAAAGATATTTTAAGTCCATGACTGTACTGATATTTATTTTTGTAATCTCACTGGCTTCCAGCTAAAAGCAAAACTAGGTCCCATCTATGTGCACTTCATATCTGTGGCTATACTGCTGATCAGTGACAGTCCACCAGAAAAGGAAAGTTTACACCTGGCAGAGGTTTTCTGATATTACCCAGAGAGAAAAGGAGATCTGGGCAGGAAAAGATGCTAAACAAAATATAGCCTTCTCTTCTTCAGCCTGTGATGTAAATTTTTCAGCTGAGGTAGGGATGTATGACCTCTCAAAGAAGGAGGAATAGATATTGAATTATTTCTCCGTCTCATATAAACCTGAGGAATTGTTAACGTTCTGAAAATATTTTTGCAGAAACAATTGCTAAAAAATCATGGTTGCCATCTTGTCTACAGTTTTAGGAAGATTTCATCCCCAGGAGAAATTAATCAAGACACATTAATACATACTCAGCAGACTCACAAGTCATAACTGATGTCTGGTAGAGTGATTGCTCATGTCACTCCACAAAAGCTTTCTCTATTAGAACAGTCTTTCATAAGTCTGCTACTAAACTTCTCTTCAAAAGTAGAAAGTCTCATCAGGTAAATCTTACAGACTCATAAAGACTTTGTCTCTGGGGTCTGACAGCTATATTCTGGTTGTTCTTAGAATATTACTATTGTACTTAGAATATTACTATCTCAGTTTTTGTGTACTTTAACTCCAAGATTTCAGTGTGGCTTTCAGATATCTACCATAAAGACCTAAGTTTCCACTTTTATGTTCCTTCATTTTAGAGCTGAAGTTTTCAATTCTCAGTTTTTTAAATAAGGTACTGAAATGGAAAAGGCTACCTACTCCAGGAATAGAACTGTATTTATCTTATCCAAAGTAGGCTACCTTCTGCCCAAAGAGTTTATCGGCAGTTGAATTACCATACTCTCTTTGCTGGATGGAAAGTGACTCACTCTGAAATACTGTATTTCAGGATGTTGAAGCTGTGTGTAAAGTTGTTCCATTCTTCTCTTTTTTTTTTCTTTTTTTTTTTTTTTTCAGTTCTAAATTTAAAACTTACATTTCCTCTATCCAGTTTTAGTTGTGTAATACCTGGAGGATTTCTTCCTTCTCTAGAATAACTTCATAGGAACAAATCAGAAAAGTTGGAGAGAAAAGCATTTTGGAAGACAATGCTACCTGAAACAGGATAGTGTGATACATTTAAATATAATTTTATCTGAGTCTGGAGACTGTTGAAAAGTAAAATCTTTGTAGATCAGAATTAGTGGGGTTTACCTGGAAGTTTGTTAGACAATTTTTTGTATCTCAAAAAAAAGGTTCATTCAGGCATTTATGTGAGAGAATTGTTTTACGTGGCACAATTGTAAATTTTAGTTTTAAAAAAGTATCTCTACTGGATTCTGAAACTCTCTTCCTTTCAATAAAGATCAAAGCAAAATTACTTTACAGTTTAGGCAGAATAATCTGGAAGATGTAAAAATGAATTTGGATTTTTTTTTTCTGTCTGTGCTGGGACGATTATTTATTATTATGGCTTTTCACTTACTCACCTGAGTTGTATTACTGTCTGTTTTATCTCGACAGTGACAGACTAGAGGACAATAGAACAGTTCAAGAGCACCTATGGCAAATGCAATGTCAACCTGCATCATCTGTGACGAATATACTGTGCATTACCATCATTTTATGTACTGTAAATAAGCCCCCATCCTTTGTTTTGCCTAACTCCTTCCAGATGCCTCTTGCCTCAAACAAACTACAGTCCTCAGGTTCTCAGAAATAGGATCTTGGCCTACAAGAAGGTAATTTCTCCAGGTTCAACAACCGGATCAAGGCATTTTACTCTTGCAGTCTGCATTATCCCTTCTTATTCTTGAGCTGCCATCTCATTTAGGCAGGGACTTTTAGGATACAAACATAAATCTTACATGTTTATAGTACTGATGGCAGTAGTAACATTGATACAAGATGGTGTTTCTGTATGAAGGCTTGGCCATTTTTCACCCTCAGCTTGGGTTTGGGTGGCCCATAATCTTCCTAACTCGAAACTGGTCCAAGAGAGCTGAGGCAATGTGTAGGATCTCAGCCTGGTTTTCTCCTCATTCTAGCCTATTCCTCCCCACTCTTGGCTGCTCGTACTCCAAAGAAGAACAGGGCTGTCTTTTAGTCTCAGACACCTCAAAGGAAGTATTATGAATGAATCTGAGCCCCCAAAAATGATTCACAGAAACTTCTAGTGGACCTGATTTTCAGATTTGCTCAGTCAGGAATATTTCAGCCTCCAGGAAATGCCATAATACCTCTTGGATCCTGTTCACAATAATATGGCATGTTTGTCTCATTTGGTGTCCCAGTGAGAGGAGGTAGCTTGTTGTTTACTCCTTTTCCAGTGCCCACCTGAGTGCCAGCACTTAATGACTGCTCTCCATGTGGCATCACTAAAACAATAGCACTAGTTATAACACCACTAAGACAAAAATATCATTATAGCATTTTCCCAGAGGAAATAATAATAGACAATGATAAAATAAAAAAAAGAAAGCTATAAATATAAATTATGTTAGTCTTGGAGAAAATGACTAGCTTATACAGTAGGAAGAAGAACACAATTATCAGAAACCCTTCAGTTCCTAGGAAGGAAGGGTCAAGATTCCCATGAACTCCATCTAACTACAGGTTTTATTTGGACAAAATATAAATTCAGAGAGAACCTGTCCTTGCACAGCTGAAATGCCCTTTCTGCTGTTTCCTTTCCCACCAGAGTAATTAGCTATGGTAACAGTTCAAAAGTGGTTCCTGGCATTTATGATTAGAATTGTTAATTCCAGAGTGCTAAATATTTCATTTATTAAAGAGTAGAGTCTGCTTAAAATCTCACATGTGCCTACATTTTTGCATTTGAGGTTACAAGTAACATCTACGCATATAAAGACTGGAGAATATCTGTTCCCTCTATTTTTCAGTGCACTCAGATTATGCATTTTGTAGAGCTTCAGGGCTGGTTATCAGCTTGCTATATAATCAATGAAAGCTCTGTCCAGCAACCTCTTTCCAGAGGTTCTCCACGTGGTACTGTGAGCAGTCCCACTGAAATCAGAGCCTCATTCATCATGCCTGATGATAATAGTTTGCTAGATTGGGCCAGATCTCATAACTCTCTCCCTGCCTCCCTGCCTTCCCCTGCATCATGTCTGAGGGCATTTTCAAACTATGTGGAAAAGAAAAATACTTATTAAATCGCTCAAAATGGTGAAAATGTTGAGATCTCAAAAGTTAACTTTTAAGGCCACTAGAATGGACCATTAGTCCTCGTTTAAATGACCACAATTGTGTTCAGCTAAATTAAAGGCCTGAAGAAGCTTTCAGTCTTTATTTTTTGTAGAGTCTTAGTCTTTAACCAACACTTTGCCTCATAATAGGTTTCAATGACTAATCGACTTAATTTTGAAAATGTTTCAACCTTTAAGTTCCAAAAATTGCTCTTGCTAATATCTCTCTAAATTAGTCTTTGCTTTTGCCTACACTAATTACTGTTTTATCTGTATATTACAGATCTCAGAGAGGGTTGTCAGTAATAAAATTATTAAGAATATATTGTTAGCAAGCACTTAAGTTAAAATTATTTTACTGTAATTTTTTAATCATCATCTGTCAACGATTTGAGTCATGCCTGATTTACAATGAAATCTGCATTTCTAACACCGGGAGAAGATAGGTTATTCTATTGGCTTACACTTCCAATGAGTACTCCATCAAGTCTTTGGGATCACAAAGTGGAAGCCTACCTGTCCAGGCATAAATTATAAGCAGTCTCATTAATTTATTTCAGGTTAGCACATGGAGGTTTTTTTATAACCACTGTTGCTATAAGGCAGGTAGAGTTCCTAGCAGCATGCAGGGATTTCAGAGAGGTTTGTGATCTACTCATCCTGCTGTGTTCAAAGTTTCAAGGATTGTCTTGAAGCAAATGTTTGATGGATAGCATAGAGTGCTCCTCCATCAAGCACTGTGAGTCATCACATTGTGCATTGTGCAAGTTTATTCAACTTCCACAGACCAGCATATCCCACACAGAGACCTAAGTGTTTCTTTTTCCTCTCTCTAAGGACAAACTTTTTGGTTCTACTTTATATTCTTTACCCACAGCTTGTGAAGTGGAATTGAGTTCCAAATGTGGAGATGGTGACTTGACTTTGCCTTTTTTTTCCTTCACACAGAGAAATAAGCCTTGATTAATGATGAGTTTCTGTTCACAGTGTTCTTTCTTTAAAAGGCAAAACCTGTTCTCTCTGTGTGTGTAAGACGACAGATTGACAGCCCTGGGAGACTGAAAGCCCTCTGTTTATCCCCAGTACAGATACAGCACAACTAACAAAAATGCAACTTTCTATGAGATATCTTAGCAATGTATTTCTGCATGGCCAGGGAAACACAGGATGCTCAGGTTATGCAATCCTTTGTCTTTGCCAAAGCTACCCACCACAGCAATGGCATTTTCTGTGATCTGGAGGTCTGAGAGCATCAGAATTTCTGAATTTCAACTGTATTTCATAAACAAATGCCTCAATGTCTTTTACCCAAACACCTAAGCCTTTCAGTTGCTCTCTGTGTCCCCTCTTTGAAAGGAAAAGAAAGAGGTTATTTTCTGCATTTGTTTGTATGGGAAAAGCAATCTTGGCTGATGACACATGGGACTGATCACATTCATTTCTGTGCTTTGGTGCCTCTTTGAAATGGATGGGGATGTACCATGAGTTTTTTTATTACTCTTCTTGCATGGCTATAAAATTCAGTGAGTTCAGGAGTAGTGGGCAGAGCACCCTGAACACGTGAGTGTGTTATTTGCACACTGACCATAGCAAAAGATTTTCAGAGGTGTAGATTAGGAGGTTTACAGATCATAAAATGCTTTAGTATCATTTTGGGAAGTGGTACACCAGAAATGTAGATTTTTTGTTTCTTAGTACATTCTTATTTCAAGGAAGCCAAAATTAAATCATCATTCTGGGGTAAGGGCAGTAAAAAAACATTGTCTGGGCATGTAGCTGCCCTTGGACAGCAGGAATTGATGATGGAAAGGATGATATCAAGGCTGGACTTATCTTGGGATCAAAGATAATGAGAAGTCAGGAAAAAACATGCATAGGAATGATTACCAGAGAAACTCTTCGAGACCTTTCTTTGTGCCCTATGCCTGGTGTTTAGTACTCAGGAAGTGAGTATAAAATTATGTGACTGTTGTGAATTCTGGTCAGGGATCTGCTCAGGCAGCCCAGTTGAATTATACTTTTACTTTTTTACCCCTGAAGATAAGGTTCTGTAGCAGTTTGGTGCACGGAATTCAGCAGTTGCAGAAATTACAGACATTTGGTCTTGGACATGAGGTGACATACTTCCTTGCAATATTACAGAGGTAATATATGATTAATATTGCAATTAATAGCTTGTGTTTCTCCCCAGTGCACCCAGATACTGACCTGTCTGAAACCTAATTCCAGAGATCTTCCTGCAGCTGCATTGTTCTTGATACAACTCCCCTGTGCTTTTATAACACTGTAAATAATATTTCAATGCTGCGCTATTCCCAAAGTCCCAAAATCTTATTTAATCTTCTTTTTCTTTCAGTTTTCTCACTTTCTAGAAACAACATTTGCTGCAAGGATGTGAATATTGTCATCATGTCAATGAAGGTCTACACAATGCTGAGTTCTCTGATTTCTGTATTTCCTCACTGAATTCTAGAGCATGACAGAAATCCTCTGTTCTACGAGACAAGAAGGGAACTCGTACCATGAAAGATTGAAAGAGACTAGGGGCTGTTGAAAGCCCCTTATAAAATCTTTTCATCCAGCTTCAGAATCTGTACCAGCCCAAGCATTTCCCATCTATGCCTGATAGAGAATTTTGACACTGACTTCATGTCCTGTAGGATTTTGAGAACATTAATAAACTTTCTGGGAGCGCATTTATTTAATCACAGAAAGTGCAAATTCAGGATAGTTTGGGGGTTTTTTTGGTAAATTTCCTGAGGTTTTAAGTCATAAGATAAAGGTTTTTTTAATATCTCCCTGAGAAATATGCAAGATATAAGCTGTGAATTTTCTCTCCTACCAAAAGGTTTTTTCCCCGTCCTTGCATGGTCAGTACAAATATCTTCATGCTTCATCTATGAACTTCATATCCTATCAGGAAAATCTCTTTTCCCAGTAACTGAGAAAAGTATGTGCTCTGTTTGCAATTTCATGTGCTATCATGTGATAACAAGACTGTTATTTGGAAAAACTCTGTTGATTTTCATTCTTATAATTACAGTGCTTACTTAGTTGTCTGTTTAAATGTTCTTTGGTGCCCAAGGCCATTTTTAAATAAAGTCAAACTCACTAACAAGTATTTTAATGTTTTATTTGAAGTACTTTTTACATAGGAAGTTTTTTGCTATTTGTAAACTTTTCTATCAGTTCAGTTAAAATTTCAAGCATAAATTTAGTTCAACTAGCATCATCTGAAGTGTATGTACTTCATTTTTACATTCATTTTGTCAGCTATACATCCCCCATACCATATGGTATGATACTCTCAGAGAGAAGCTAAATGTTTTCTGCACAGTAATTGTTTTCATTTCTATTAAAAGAGAAAGGCACAAATAATAAGCACAGTGAAGGCATGCAATCTTTGGCGTGTCACTAAATCCTTGATGTCTATTAAAACCCCACCTAAACTTGCAATTCCCTTGACAGAGCACGTAGGAAGGCCTTTCTCCATCTGCTGTTTTTGCTGATGAGATGCCAAATGTCTT